GTGTGACATAAAGGATATGTACAATGTGCAAAGATAAAAAAAATGATCAAATACCTAAAAAACTGATGACATTCCCCTTAGCCTCAGCTGTAGCCTACTTTTTGTTTGGAGCTAAGCTGCAGAAATAGAAATAGAAAACTCTCCCTAAAACGGTAAAGTCGATTGAGCTTGTTTTGGATGGTTCTTATAATGTGATACGGTAAATCCCTATTACCAACTTCCTGTTAATAAATTAGTTTTTGGATCGAGGTTAAAAAACTGAAGTGGGATATTTCGGGCCCTCGATGCATCCCCTGGGATCCATTGTGTGTATTCTGTCCTCTCTCTCTCGGGGGTGGAATAATCCACTCCGTTGATTCAAGTGGTTGGACGACTGTTAGCAGTTAGCAGAAAATGCTAATTTCAGTTGTAACCGAGAGACTCCTGGAAGGATTTAGCCTCAGAAATAAGGAACTCTAATCCCTTCCAATTATTATCTGTTGTTTTCGATGACAGGAAGATTTAGAGGAAGAGTTGCTAAGTGGACTCTTCATCCTGACATAATCTGTTAATGCAAAATCCACTGATTGCTTTTCCTAAAAAAAAACAAAAAAAAAACAACAAAACAAAGCTCTGAGACAAAGAGTTAGCATCGAGCTATTACCGAACAGACTTCGTCATCGAGCGGCAATCGCCAGGGCCGAGAATCCCGCTTTCACGTGTCGGCTTATTCCTTATTTTGGCAATAAATATGAATTCGCTTCTGCAGTTTCAATGATGCAGAACAAGAAAGAAGCTTTCACAGTGAGATTTGAGCCACATATGAATATTCAGTCGGTGTGGTAAAGAGCTAAATGGTGACGGAGAGCTAGATTCCCATAATGTCGTCTCTGACTAAATCCCAGATTAAACAGTTTGCTATTAACAGGTTGGTTATTTACAGACAACACTCAGCTAGAAGCTTGTGATTCGATCAAAGGACTGAAGGAGAGGGCGGCTGACGGGTCACCCTTAATTTATTAGGGTATCATGGACGCTCAGGTTCAGGCAAAATAATGATTAGACATGTCTATAAAACATTGTTTAATATGAATTTATGCTTTTACATCTATTGAATGTTTCCATCCAGTACCCATATGTGCTGGTGTGGTCTAACGGCATCTCGACATAAAAATATGTAACTCTGGTCCAATTTAACTCACCTAAACTCGGTCAATGTGGGATTTTTTGGGTTTACTCAGACAACAAAGCTTTGTGATTTAACAATCCAGGTTGCACTAGCTTTCCTTATTGTGATTAAAATAATTATAGTTCTATGAATCAAGTGTTGACTCAAAAAGTGGCTTAAATTTGAATTTAGGGCATGTTGGAGCTTACATTTATGCTTCAGAAAAGCTCCATGTTTCTCATATAAATAATACAATTAACTGTATTATTCATTGTCCAAGAGCAGGTTTGGCTGTTTTTCTAACAATGGATGTTGACATATATTAGCCTCTATTCCCAGGAATGGATCATTCAAATGTTAAACATCTGACTCATTTATAATTACAACAACCACTGAAGCATTCTATCAGTAATCTGTAATAATCTGTAATGGATTACATGTTAAAAGTAACTGGGGGTGCCTGCCTGTAAATCCATCTTGATGCTCGCGGTTTCTGGGCCGGTGGTGATAAGGGTTAAGCTGTATTGAAGCTGGATGGATGCAGAGATCAAAGTCGGCGGTCAGAGCCTCAGAAAAATCCCACAAGTCGTTCTTTCGAGATAAAAATACTTGATGTTCCTGCACGGCCTCAACTAGCCTGAGGGGCCCAGGAGCCTTAAAGAACCCTTTTTTTTGTCTGGTGCAAGTTGAGTGTTGATTGAGACAATCAGCAAGACCTCAGAGGGGAGAGGATGTTCCTGTTTCTCTCTCCGTGCTCTTGTTTTGTTAATATCTTCATCTTTAATATTTCTGTAGGGATTTTCCAGGGAACCAAAATGTGTCTTTGCATGATGCACATTTCTCTGATGATTTGACATACACTTCACGGCCAAAAGTATGTGGACACCCAAGCGTGACACACACGTGTGACACTTGATGCACGGGGCAGGGTTGAGGTCAGGGTCTCCCACGCCAAACTAGGATTATTTTTGGACTTGAAACAGTTTACCAACAGTTTGGGCAAAGTTGGAAGCACACAATGATATAAATGTGTGCTTCACTGGGGAGTCTCTTTTAGAGATATAGTGTGGGTCAACAGGTTGTTTTAAGGTCCAGTGTGTAACATTCAGGAGGATCTATTGGCATATATTTAATATAATATTCATAGATATGTTTTCATTAGTGAATAATCACCTGAATATAGGAATTATTGTTTTTTTATTACCTTAGAATGAGCTGTTTATATTTACAGTTTCTACAGTAGCCCAGAACGGACAAACCAAACACTGGTTACACACTGGTCCATTAAAACCCGTCTATGTTACTCTTATATGTGTTGATTCTTCTGCATGCATTATAGCTGCACTGCTGTGATTAGTTACAGTTACTAGTTACCTCTCGCAAAGTAACTACTTTACCAATTACTGAATAAAAAAAGTAATTAGTTACTAGGTCAAGTAGCTTTTGTGTTACTTTTAAAATGTATGCTTTAATCCTCTTCTTAATGCTCACAGCTGTCAGCTATGTTATTTTATTGTTGCCCGACCCCCAGGGGGCAGCAGTGAGTATCGCTTCCACCTGTAGTCACACTTACAGGAGGATGCAAACATTAACCAAGCTTTGCTACAGTAGTTAGTTAGTTAATAAATAATTAACTTAAATTGAGGTCGTTAGATTATAAAGTAGTAAATGGTGGCTAAAAAAAAATAAAAAAACTAGCGAGAAATGAGCCAAGTGCTTGTTTTGTACGTTCTGGGCTACTGTAGAAACATGGCGGTTCAACATGGCGGACTGAAGATATCAACAGCTCATTCTTACGATGATTATTCACTAATGAAAAAATATCTATGAGTATTATATTAAATGAATGCCAGTAGAGCCTCCTAAATGTTACACACTGGACCTTTTTATACACGATTTAAAGGTGGAGCTCATTTTAATATACTGCAGAGTAGCTTGAGGATCAATAAAGTCTTATATTAATCTAAAATAATTCATCATAATTTAGCTGTAGATTATGTAGAGTATTTTGTAGTGGAGTAAAAAGTACAATATTCCCTCTATTTATCTATTACAGTCCATTCTGAGCTTTGTTGGTTTTTCCATTTATTTGTCACAAATCTGAATACCTGTGAGGCTAATTTCTAATATATACTTAGAGGTATTTTTATTTCCTGTCACTACAGTTCCTAATATTTCTATATTTCATCTTCCTGTGGAGTTACACTGAACTCAGTCGTGACCTTCCTGCACTTAATGGACTCTTTCAATATCCATACCTATAAAAAATTGCTGCTGTGAAGCATCTGATATTGTATTATAGTCTCTCTCTCTCTACCTGTCAATCACCATCATCGTCAGAATAAATTGGACTTTTTTCCGATTCTGTTATCGATTTATTTCTATCTCAGCCCGCCACGCCGGAGCATTGAACAGCCTCCACTATTGATCTGCAGGCCCATTAAAACCTCCTTGGGAACATAATCTTTTTTTTCAAATATAAGACCTTTGTCAAACCATAAAATCAATTATTTCTGCCAGATAGAAGAAAAAACATGTCACACTGTAGCAGATAAGGCTGAGTACAAATCAGCTGATAATTTAGAATGGTTTAATTTCTCACGAGTGATTGTGATTCAACACGTTTGGTTGGTTTTTTTAAGGTCAACAAGCCAAAATGAATGGTTTTCCCCAAGTGGGTTTTAATTTTAACCACACTGACAGCAGGAGGATGAGCAACAGGAGGTGTTAGACTTTATTTAGCGGCTATAATTTATGTATTTCCAGTGTTTGCTGAATTCAGGCCTTTATCTTTAATAACAGCAGCAGAAACTGATGTCTTTAATGCCAGCTGTAACCAAAGGGCTCCAGAAATGTCAGGCAGCCAGCAGCCATTAAATACACACACACACACACACTTACCTCTTACTCTCATCTTCATGTCCTTAAAAATGATGCCGTCAGCTGTACTGTCTCTGTAACATATTGAGGATGACCTTTGACCTTTGACCTTGACGAAAATAAATACGTCCCTTCTTATAGAAGAGTTTGTTAACTACTTTTAGTGGTTCAATGACATGACAAAATAATAATGAAGAAGGTGATCTTTTTTGCCTGTGTGAATGTTAGAAAACAGCAAAATGTGAGAAAACTTTGAATGAGATTTGCAGCATTTCATGCAAAACCAGGCTGTTACTTATACTGTACAATATCACATTATATCATATATGTACATTAATGTTTGTATACAGTATGCACTGAGGTCTCAGGCCAGTAATAGACTGTTCCAACATGTAACAAACAGGAGTAATCCTTGTGTTTGGTTTTGATGTCTTAAATATAAAGAAATATGTAAGTGAACAGACAGAATTCTCTATTTACAGACAGCCTATGAGCTTTGCAGAATAAACAAAAACATACATATTAAATATTATATCATTGTACTCCTCAATAGAGTAAGGTGATTTATTATTAGACCTAAAAAACCTCAGAGTGAAACAGGCATTAAAACTGAACAGCATCAACATTAAGACAGCTTGTTTAAACACATGGCTGAACCAGAGGCTTATAGACTACAACCTGCATGCAAAGTTATGAATATTTAATTGAAAAAGTCTTTGAAATGGGAATTTTATATCAGAAAATAAATGTTATAAATGTGAAACCAAACAAAATCCAAGATTGTATTATATTTAAGAGGAATAACATAATTTCTGGAACATCTTGAAAAGGAATTACTCTGATTTTCTTTCTCAAACATTGAATAAAATTTAAAAAGAAGTCAAAAAGAAAAAAGCAACTAATGCAAAAAGCCTCCTTGCGACCTGCGCCACATGAAACCTTAAATAAATCAAAGCCCAGCAGCAGTAAGGGTCATTTATTTATTAAAACATGCACAATGACAGTTTAATCTGAGAACACAACAGTCTACCAAATATTATTATATTAATCACTAATATGTTGTGAAAAAACCTACACATGGTGGCACACACTCGTATCAAAAGTGCCTCTGTACAGGCTGAGAAGCAGAAACAAACCTGCCAAACATATAAAAATAAGATAAAGTAGGACTATAAATTAGTTTCTTGTAGACAGCAATAAAATGTGTCTGTTTGAGCCTGCTATAATCCGCACAGTGGAAAAAGTCACCATGTGTTAATTCTTCTTTTGCAAAGCAGATTTTTTTGTATTATGCAGAAAATTACAGGTAAGTGGTCACAATTCTATAAATTAATCGATTTTTTGCGTCAGAAAATCACAAATTTTCCACTTGTTTTTGAGGATTAAACAACTCAATATTAGATTTTTTAAAATGTCTCTTTAAGCAATGCACATATGTCAGGGGATGAATAAAATAAGTCTAACAGTGCCATCGTTGAGGAAACTGTCCACATGTCTCTTTATGTCTCTAAAATGGCAACGTGTCGAGGAATAACTTATCTATTATTGCAGGCGGGGGAACCAAATCCTCCAGCTTCAGATAGAAAATCCTCTGCAGGCCTTGAATGCACAGGGTGCGCAGTTCACGCAATTTTTCCAAAAGTCTGGACAGATGGTTGGACCAACAGTTTGAGCCTCCGTCCCCGTCCTTCAAACACTTGACTATGTTGTTCTGCAGCTCCTCCACTTTATTCGACTCCTTCAGTCCGTGTCGCTCTGTAGGTCCGTAAACCACACGTCAAACAAAGATATTAGATACAAAATAATTAAATATGGGTCATTTTAAAAGGGTTAGCTCAACACCAAACATTGGAGACATTTAGGTGTCTGGTGAAATAGCAGCTGGTGTGAGATGAAACTGATGCTGCCTTCACTGTTAGCTCTAATTTCTGACATTGCATAGGCTTTTATTTTGAAATAAAATCTACTTTTTAATAGGCTACATTTAGGTCTAGCTATTTCAACATGCATCCACAGTTATTAATTAACTATTTCAACTGTTTAAATACATTAGCCTACTTTTAGATAAGTTTCTTCAACTGTTTGTCCATTAGCCTTAGCTAACTTTTATCTATTAGCCTACTTTAGGCCAACTATTTCGACCATGTAGCCTATCCATCACTTTTAGCAAGAATTTAAAGCATTAATCCATCATTTGTGGCTAATTATTTCAACTGTTTATCCATTAGTCAAGCTAACTCTCCATTTTATCCATTAGTTATAGCTAACTCTCCATTTTATGCATTAGTTTGAACTATCAACCATTTAGCCTATCCATCACTTTTAGCCAACTATTTTAATCATTAATCCATTATTTTTGACTAACTGTTCCAGTCAATAAGTAAATTATTCCTACTGTTTAGCTGTGAGTTAAAGCTAACTTTATTCCATTTATCCAGTATTTGTTTTATCTATCTCAACCATTTATCCATTAGGCTACGTTTAGCCAACTATGTCATCGTTTAGCTAAATTACAACACTGTGTTTAGGTGTCACAGCTGACTTTTTCTATTTTCTAATCCAAATCATTTCTGTTTTTTTTTTTCAAATAATTTCAGCTACTCTACAGCCTCTCCAGACAGGCCTCCCCCTGGCAACTGCAGAGGTACCTCCGGGAACGTAAGTACTCAGTTGTGACGTGTCCTACATGATGTCCGGCCCCTAAACGTCACATGTGGTTTAGTTATTTCTTAACTTAACTTAATTTTATTGTAACATAAAACAGCAGATATGTAAAAAGAACCCAGACTGCAGTACTTGAATGCAGCATCAGTGGGAAATTAACCTTGGTGAGACTGTATATGTTTTTTGAGCGTCTCACCGGTGACCAGGGCGAGGGTGCATATGCAGGAGAAGGTGGATACATCCAGGTTCATCCTCTGCAGATTAGCGGAGAATTCAACAATGCTGTCAATCCACTCCCCAAAGCCCCGCAGGCACTGGAGCCGGTGCCACACTGTCCCGTCGCAGAAGATCAGCTTCCCTTCCTCCGGGTTGGATCTGAAACATTATGACAGCTTATGCTAAAAGGGCTAAAAGGCAGAGGTGGATATCACCTGGTTACACTTTTTACATTATCAGACAAATAAAAGGTTGTCTCTCCAGATGATGAACCTTTCTTTATAGGGCCAAATCCATCCCTGAGTTTTGTAATGTCAGAGGACGAGTTCCCTTGCGTGTGTTATTTACCTGTATGACAATCGTAAAACAAAGAGCTCCAGGAAGGCAGAGTAGAAGAGGAGGTCTTGGTCGTGTTTGGGCAGGGAGGTGAAGCCCGGGATCTTCTGCGCCCAACCTCGAATCACCTCCATGGATCTGGTCAGGAGGTCATAAAACTGCCGCACGTGCTGAGCGTCGTCTCCAAGCGGGCTGCCTGGACTTTCTTTGAACTAGTGAAAGGTCACCAGTGGGATTAAGTAGAAAAGATATAAATACATCAGTTACAGCTCCAATATGACCTTATTTCATGTAAAGGGGCCACTACACATTTCTTAAAGCAGTGAAAACATGCCCACACTGCGTACTTTGAAGCAGTCGAGGAGAGAAGGTGGAGGGTTCGAATCCACATGCGCCCTGATGAGGGCGCTCAGGAGGGTGCTGACAGGTAAAGACGTGTCTGGGACAGCTTTAGGTTTGGACGGCAGGCGACCCCTTCGACCTTTCAGACTGGCTGTCCTCACCACTGCAGAGAGTGAGAAGGAAACAGTATACAAATGAGTAAAATTGGACTTTATGTGACCCCCAGATGTTAAAAGTGGTTTTCAAAGTCTACTGGTTCACCTTCTTTGACCATTCCCACTGCAAGGCACTTCTGGAAGCGGCAATATTGGCATCGGTTCCTCCTGCGTTTGTCCACAGGGCAGCTTCTAGCAGCCAAACACACGTACTTGGCATTTTTTTGTACTGTGCGCTGCATGGAGAAAGAAACAGATATTTTTGCAAAGAACAAAGCTTATGAATATAATACCTGCGCTTCAATACTACTTATCAGATGAGGTCATACTTAAAGGTCACTGTGAGTGACATCTGTTTGTTCTTAACCTCATTCTCATCCACTCTGCTCCAATAAAACCTGCTTTTTAAGGGTTTTAAAAGCCCTGAAAGACGAACTCAAATGACACCATTAGAACCGTAATTGTACACACAGAACTATCTGGGACATGGTCTTTGCTGCACTTTGGTACCAGTTTAAGTGGTGTTTTAAGAAAGCATTGAAGCACAATGTCAGATTTCATGCGTCAGGTTCAATTCATGGCAACAAAAGGGGGCTTTTTGTGAGAGATGGTCTAATCTGGTGGCACGGACGACCTTTTTGAAAGGGGTCTTTCGGCATAAGGAGCCCTTTTTTGTAGCTTGTAGACTAAAGTAAAGACCCTTAAATGTTTTTGGGGAAATTAACAGCAGCACTCATGCTCCTGAGGGCCTTCTGAGGCAGTATGAGGCATTTTGCAGGCGGGCAGGGCAGTCTGGGTAAATACAGGGTCGTGGTCAGTCATAATTTGGAGAACCGCCCCTGGGAATCTCCTACAGAGGGAAGAAGATGAAGGTTTTTATTCATGGCACGTTGGTGGCCATTTTCAGACAGGACATTTGCCCCCACCACGCCTGTGTCAAGAGATCAAAACGTGCATCTGAAGAGCAATGACCAATTTAGGAGGCCAGTCAGGAGTCCCAGTGGGATTTTTTTCATTATAGCTTATTACTCGAATTATAATTTTAATAGGCGACAGTGTGGCCATGTAGGGAAAAGTGAATATATCCATTTAAACAATGCAAGATTATCATGAAAACGGGATCAGATATTCTTTCACAGAACTGGAAATAACTGCGATGGTTTTATCCTTTTTACAGGCACATTGTTCACCTATTAATTTAAACTTTTCAGGATAATAAAAACCATATAAGTCAATCGGCTGCCTCCTGAAATCCAACTTGAAATTCCCGTTTTCCTTGCAGCTTTAAAATAAAGTTGCACCGAGAACAAACCTTGAAGAAACCCTTGCAGCCCTCGCAGGTGCGCACTCCGTAGTGCTGGCAGGCTGCGTTGTCGCCGCACACCGCGCACAGCCCCTCCGTGCTCAGCGGTCCTCGGCTGGCAGCGGGACAAGTCTGGTAGTCCATAAAGCGGTGGCCGTGGGCGAGCTGCAGGGGGTGGGGAAATCCCACTCCGGGCTGCTTTCCGAGGGCACTAGAGCCCAAAACCCCGGGGCTGTCCAGCGGCTGGTGCGCCCCGGCTGCGTCCACGTTCATGGACACATGGACAGACCCGTCAAATTTCATCTGGCAGGTGGACAAGCTCTGCTGTTGCGCGTGTTTGAGGGAAAAAAGCGAGAATCTGGATAGCGCGTTTTTCCTGTGCGCCGCCGCCAAATAGTCTTGTCGAAAAGTGTACAGAGAGCCGGAGTCCTCCCATATGTGTCCCGGTGGAGTTTGGAAGTTGGGTGTGATGGGGCCGTGCGGCGACGGGGAGCGGTAGTAATAAACGGAGCCCGGGGAGGAGAGCAGCTCCTCGGACTGCTGCTGGTGATGCTGATTCGGCTGATACCGCGGACACCCGTGCGCGTCCTCCACCTTGACGCACGGAAGCTCCCCCTGCAACGGCATTTGGAAGAGACACGGGGTCTTCACGTCGTACCCGGAGCCATAAGTGTCACCCAAAGGACCAAAACTGGGACCCGACGTTGAGGCCGAGATTTCACTGTTGGTAAGGTCCATGCTGAACTTGACAAACTCCGGTGTGAGGAAGTCGCAGCTGCGCTCTCCGCCGGCGCCCTGAGAGGCCGGGCTGGCTCCTTGTGGAGAGGAGCCGCACTGGGTCTGGACGCACGGCATGGCCCCTGCAGACATGGGCATTAAGCAGTCAGTCCAAAGTGGGAAACCTCAGGCAAGTACACAGCTATATTACACCTGTACCCCATATTTAACCAAGTCCGCCCCCCAGATTCTGATTAAACGTTGCTTTCAAATGTTTTCATTTTCCTCATGATAATTTTAAAATGTCAACTAGAAACAAAATAGGTGCCCGTTGCGCAGCGATTTCCACTTGTTGAAACGACCTTAAAAACTAATTTAAATGAAACAACAGCGTGCATAGAGACTTTAATTGGTCATATTACCTTAAAGCTTTAGTTGTCTTATTTTCCAGAGGATGTTATTGCCCGCTAGACCTCGCCTGGTATGAAACAAAAAACCATCAAAGTATTACTTGCAGGCTTCACACTGGCATGCAGCCTCTGTTCAATCACTGGAGAAAAGTAGAACATACAATACCTCAGACCTCCGTCCAGTGCAGGAGGACAGTGACAAGTAATCCCATCTCTGCGGTAGTGTTGCTTTCGGAATCTATTGAAGCTTTAGCGAGCAGAAAAAAGCCCACTCGCTGTCTGGAGAGCAAAAGGAAATGACTGTTCACTTCTCCCACTCTTGGATTGCAGACTGGCTGCCAGTGACACTGACAATGTGCTTTTGTTTACGTGGTGCGCACCCGTGTGCCAAACCCTATTACGCACAAGGCACAGAGGGGCGGGGTGGTGAGTGTGTCCCCTCTGTGTGTGTGTGTGTGTGTGTGTGTGTGTGTGTGGGTCATTGACTGGTGTGGGCACAGAAAGTGGTTCATGTAATTCGGAAATAATGCTTGTGGCCCACTTTCTTGCAGTTTGCATCACGTGTAAGGGATTTTATTGCGATTTTTAAAGCATTTTCTATCAAACATGGGGCTGCTACATAAAGCAGCTGTCATTTGGCATCGATGGGGATTAATTCAAAAGTCATCATTCAAAAGTCTTTAAAGATTAGGACCACGTTCAACAGCATGTCATTTGATCCGTGATTGAACATGGCATCATTTTACAGCTTTAAAAACACGTTTTGTTTAAGAAACACTATATAAAAACCAGTCTATTTATAGGCATGCCTTTTTCCATCCATGCTTCCTGTGCTTAAAGACAGAGAAAACGACAGCTGGTGGCATTTCTCCCTCTTTATTCTCACCCTGAAGGAGGAGGATGGAGGGGAGACCGGCGTTGCGCAATCTCACCCTCACGTTACGTCAACGGCGTGGCACCGCCTCCCCTCGCACGCCATTGGACGAGCCTCGGCCGAGCGCTGCGTTCCCATTGGCTCTCCGCGGTGTCACTCGGCGCCGCTCGGTTTTCCTGGTTGTAGCTGTCAATACTCAAAGCTACCGTTTTGGACAGCAACCGATGCCACCAGTCGCCGCCCTGCGTCGCCCCCAGCGAGTTTTATTCCGCCTCAAAACAAGAAATCCTGTAAGTGGGGACGTGTGTCGTGTCACCGGGTGTTTTTGGGGACTTTAAAATCTATCCAACGAGTGATTAACCCGTTGTTTTTGCTGGCATAGAGCCCAAATAAAGCAACATCTGCGAGCTGTGCTAACGTGTTGTGCCTCTCCTCCTCGGTTACACGCAAAGTTCATGTGTTTTATGGTTGTTTAAAAGCGTAAAATAGCCTATTTTATACCCTACTCCCTGTATAAATATATATATGCATATTTATAACCGGTGTTTTCTTTTGAGGAAGCTTGTTGTTGTGTTTTTTTTCCCCTCGAAGACGTTTTAATCCACAGCAAGATGGTTTAACATCACAGCGACACAATAAGTCATTACACTACCACCTGCTGTTAAAGGAAACCTGCTGTGTGTGAGCGGTATTCCCAGATATTCCCTCTGGAAATACACCCAGGCTTTAAAACAGCGAAAAATGTCACCATGTGTTTCTTTAAAAAAAAAAAAAAAAGCCAGGAAACCCCCCCCCTCCTCTTCCTCTGCTGACTCACAGTGAGGTTTCAGGGTGATGTCAGCATCATCATGAGGAGGAAGAGTTGAATTCTGTGCTCACTTATTAGTGCTGCAGAGAGTGAAATGTGTGTGTTATTTGAGCTAAAGTTTGGACACATTTCTTTTTATTTAAACACTTAAGAAACCTTAAGACCAATAATATAATAATATAATAATATATCAGCTTGCTGCGGCGATATTGGGTGTAAATGTCGACCGAGTATCATTTTATCTATCTGTTTACACTCTAACTAGTTTTAAGAAGTTTCAGCTGAATGTTTGTGGACACATTTGGGTTAAAAACACACCAAGTTTTGATATTAAACCCTGGCAGAAGTGGATCTTTCATAACACTAGCAGGTATTTTGTAATAATAATTTCTAATTCAGGCGTTTCGGTGGAGAAAAACCCTTAAAAATAGCTTCAAAATTATTTATTATAATAAATTACAGCCATGTATTGTTGGTGATACGTCCGTTGTCTTGCCGTTGAACAGTTAATGATATCATTTCTCGTGTAATAGGTCGTTTGTTACACCAAACTGGTTGCTGACATTTGTGCCATCTGTAGCTGTGTTTTATTAAAATGCATTAAAATCTGCTCCAGCGTTTGCCACTCCCTGGAAACCTCCATCCCGCCAGAGCTGGTATCATGTTTTCAGTCGTATCGATGA